GTCCAACCCCATTCTGCCAAGAAGCAGGAATGTTGCATTCAAATCACCCCCGACAGATGGCCATCCAGCCTCTGTTTAAAAGCTTCCAAAGAAGGAGCCTCCACCATGCGCTGGGGCAGAGAGTTCCACTGCTGAACAGCTCTCACAGTCAGGAAGTTCTTCCTCATGTTCAGATGGAATCTCCTCTCTTGTAGTTTGAAGCCATTGTTCTACGTCCTAGTCTCCACTGGACTTCAAGGCTGCATATTTCACTACCAAACAGCTCTTCTTTGTGAAGTTTAGGTGGAATTTCTCTTCCTGTTATTCGAATCCATTGCTCCACTGTGTCCTAGTCCCGTGAGCAGCAGAAAACAAGCTTGCCCCATTCCTCAATGGGACATCCTTACAAATGTTTACATATGCTTCTCATGCCATTCAGGGTCCTCTTCTCCAGGCTTCAGCCACTGCTCATGGGAATCCATGGTTTTCAGACCTATGACCATTTTGGCAGCCCTTCTCTGGGCGTTTTCCATCTTGTCCAACGCCTTTTTGAATTCCTTTGACCAGAACTGGATGCAGGATTAGTCCAGGTGAGGTCTGACCAAAGTAAAATCGAGAGAGTATGACTTTCCTCAATGTAGACACCATACTCTGCAGCCTAGAATCACATTGTCTTGTTAAATGGCTGCATCACGCTCTTGGCTCCTCTTTGGCTTATGGTCCCTTAAGGCTCCTAGATCTCTTTCCCCGGACTTATTTCCAAGGCATCAGAGGGAGTTGGACCATTGTATCCCAGTGGCTCTCACACCCATAATTCTTGCCTCTCAGCAGATGAATGACTGTCTTGTTCAGGGGAAATTGCTGCCTGCATTCCCCATCTGCCAGAATATCCTCCTTTCTAGGGAGGGGACGATAAGGTATGCTCAGGCTCAAGAAGACTTTGCCCTCTAGAAGCAAAGCCTCATTTTGCTTCTCACTACCTCTGAGGATGCTTGCCATAGGTGCAGGCGAAACGTCAGGAGAAATGCCTCTAGAACATGGCCATATAGCCCGAAAAAACCCACAAGAACCTAGTGATTCCAGCCATGAAAGCCTTCGACAATACATCAAAGCCTCATTGTTGGGGATGGGGCCCCATGTTTTTGGGCAGAGCAGTGGTTGCAGCAGTGGTAACAACATTGGACCCGGTGGCACCGAAACAAAGACGCTGATGCCCTTGTCATCAGTCTTAATGGGGTGCAATTTCCCATGATAGATAGATAGCCATATTGGAATTGATCCGGCTTTGGCCCCACCCGGGAGCAAAGTGCAAGAACCTTTCTATTCCCTTGCTGTCCTTTGTCCTCCCCCCAATGTAGATATTAGGAGTTTATGCAGATTGGCAGCTCTAATCTGGATTGTTTGGAATGTGAGCCGCTTTGAGTCTTGTTTGTTAATGTTATTTGTCTTTATTTGTATTCCTTTTCCCTCAAAGCGTCTTATATCACTGAAAACTGTGTGATTTTTAATGAAAAACGTATAAACATCGAAATGCAATTAAACAGATGGTTAAAATCACCAAAAGCCATGGAAATGTTCCCCTTTGATAAGCCTGCTTGAATAGAAAAGTTCCAGCCATTAAGAGGGGAGAGCAGGATAATGATGATGATGATGATGATGATGGTAATAGTAATGATGATGATAGTGATAATGATAATACTGATGCACAGAGTTCATTTGCTCAGGGAAAGAGCAAATTTGCTCAAGTGGATTTTGAAGCTCTATAGCAGCGTTTCTCAACCTGGTGGTTGGGACCCCTGGGTGGGTCGTGAGGGGGTGTCGGGGGGGGGGGGGGGGGGGGGGGGGGTCACCAAAGACCATCAGTAAACACAGTATTTTCTGTTGGACACGGGGGTTCTGTGTGGAAAGTTTGACCCAATTTTATCATTGTTTGGGTACAGAATGCTCTTTATGGGTGAACTATAAATCCCAGCAACTACAATTCCCTAATGTCAAGGTCTATTTTCCCCAAACTCCACCAGTGTTCACATTTGGGCACATTGAGTATTGATGCCAAGTTTGGTCCAGATTCATCATTCTGCGGGAAGGTAAGGGCGCTCCATGCAGTCATGCCAGCAGCCACATGACCTTGGAGGTGTCTATGGACAACGCTGGTTCTTTGGCTTATTCTCCCCTATGAACCATCAAGAGCGTTAAGATTGTCTGGAGAGGCCCTGCTCTCAGTCCCGTCACCTTTGCAGTTGCGTCTGGTGGGGATGAGAGACAGGGCCTTTTCTGTGGTGGCCCCCCGGCTATGGAATTCCCTCCCGAAGGAAATCAGATCTGCCCCCTCCCTCCTTACCTTTGCTGTTAGCTGGTCTGAGTTCCTCTACGGAGGTAGAGAAGATCGGGATATAAAAGTTTTAAATAATAATAATGATGATGATGATGATGAGCACCAGAGTCCCAGTGTCAGACACGACTGGACTTAATGCCAGGGGAAAACCTTTACCTAACTGTTACCTATTATTATTATCAGGTATTTTTTAAAGGCCTGTCCAAATGTATATATTTTAAGCATAAGGAAGGGTGAACACCCTTCTGGTGTTTCTTTAGCTATCTATATCCCTGTTCAGAAAATTTCAGCGCACTTTCCATTCCTGTGAGAATTAGATTTTGAGAAATGTGGTTTGTTGTGAAGATACAGCTTCAGTGGAGACCCCTTTTCCTCCTGATAATAACTCTTTTAGGAGTGAATTTCCCTTCTGAGGGGTAGATTTATCTCACTTCCTGTCATCTCACCTCCATTCTTAACTAGGAGTTGTTGGTAAGTCGGATGTGTGTAACTCCCGGTGACGCAGTGGGTTCAACTGAAGACCAACAGGTTGGAGGTTTGAATCCAGGGAGAGCAGGTTGAGCTCTTGCCTGTCAGCTCCAGCTCCCCATGCAGGGACATAGAATCATAGAATTAGAAGAGATCTCATGGGCCATCCAGTCCGACCCCTTTCTGCCAAGAAGCAGGGATATTGCATTCAAAGCACCCCTGACAGATGGCCATCCAGCCTCTGCTTAAAAGCCTCCAAAGAAGGTACCTCCACCACACTCTGGGGCAGAGAGTTCCACTGCTGAACATCTCTCACAGTCAGCAAGTTGTTGGAATCGTAGAATCATAGAGTTGGAAGAGACCTCATGGGCCATCATCCAGTCCAACCCCATTCTGCCAAGAAGCAGGAATATTGCATTCAAAGCACCCCTGACAGATGGCCATCCAGCCTTTGCTTAAAGCCTCCAAAGAAGGCGTTTCCACCACACTCTGGGGCAGAGAGTTCCTCTGCTGAACATCTCCCACAGTCAGGAAGTTGTTAGAATCATAGAATCATAGAGTTGGAAGAGACTTCATGGGTCATCCAGTCCAACCTCCTGCCAAGAAGCAGGGATATTGCATTCAAAGCACCCCTGACAGATGGCCATCCAGCCTCTGCTTAAAAGCCTCCAAAGAAGGCGCCTCCAACACACTCTGGGGCAGAGAGTTCCGCTGCTGAATGGCTCTCACAGTCAGGAAGTTGTTAGAATCATAGAGTTGGAAGAGACCTCATGGGCCATCCAGTCCAAACCCCTGCCAAGAAGCAGGGATATTGCATTCAAAGCACCCCCGACAGGTGGCCATCCAGCCTCTGCTTAAAAGCATCCAAAGAAGGAGCCTCCACCACAGTCTGGGAAAGAGAGTTCCACTGCTGAACGGCTCTCACAGTCAGGAAGTTCTTCCTCATGTTCAGATGGAATCTCCTTTCATGTAGTTTGAAGCCATTGCTCCATTGTGTCCTGGTCTCCAGGGCAGCGGAAAACAAGCTTGCTCCCTCCTCCCTAGGACTTCCTCTCAGGTATTTATACATGGCTATCATGTCTCCCCTAGCTTCTGCCAACCTAGCAGTTCGAAAACATGCAAATGTGAGTAGATCCATAGGTGCCGCTCCAGCGGGAAGGTCATGCCAGCGGGCAGTCATGCCAGCCACATGACCTTGGAGGTGTGTATGGACAATGCCGGCTCTTCAGCTTAGAAATTGAAATGAGCACCACACCCCAGAGTCAGGCATGACTGGACTTAATGTCAGGGGACAACCTTTACCTTTTATCATGTCTCCTCCCAGCCTTCTCTTCTTCAGGCTAAACATGCCCAGCTCTTTAAGCCACTCCTCATAGGGCTTGTTCTCCAGAACCTGAATCCTTTGAGTCACCCTCCTCTGGACATAGCATTCCAGCTTGTCAACATCTCCCTTCAATTGTGGTGCCCAGAAATGGACACAGTGTGATTCCAGGTGTGGTCTGACCAAAGTAGAAGAGAGCATAGGGAGCATGACTTCCCTGGATCTAGGCACTAGACTCCTATGGATGCTTGTTGTCATTTGTGTAACATAGGGCTTGTTCTCCAGACCCTTGACATGTTCCAGCTAATGAGAGAAGCCTCCCACAATGCTGGTAAAACATTAAACATCTGGGCAATGTCCCCTGGGCAACATCCTTGCAGACGGCCAATTCTCTGACACCAGAAGTGACTTGCAGTTTCTCAAGGAGCTCCTGACATGAAAAGACAAAACAAAACTTGGGGACTGCCTGTCCATGCAACGGTGTCGTTGTTTGCCAGGATTCCTGGTCTGCCCTGAATGGCACTGTAATGTTTTCTACCTCAGATAGGTTGGAATGGGGTGGGACAGGGAGGGAAAGGAAGGGGAAAAGTAATGCCAGGGCCTATGGGTGTGTGTCCCATTGTGCATTTGGTTTGCTTTGGGTGACCCTTTTTGCCCCTGAGCCCTCTGGCAAGAAAGGTGGGTTTGCAAAGTTTCTGCATGCAGGCGGCTTGGCTTTGCGGTGGAGAGGGAGGGGAGGAGAGAAGCCCTGGCAAAGCTGCTGAGTAATTTGCTTAAACTTTGATAGTAGGTTAATCCCGGATTAAGGCAGGGCCTCTGCAGCATGTGAGGTAGGGACCCTTTCTTGCCCGCCGCCTGCTCCTTCTGACCGGCTTCCTCCTTCCTCATCTGTTGCAGGGCTCAGCGCCCCAGGGGCCCGTGACGCCAACGCCGCCACCACCACCACCACCACCACCACCGGAGAGAGCCAGAGCCAGAGCGAGGGAAGGAGGAGTCTCCGGCAAGCACAGCTCACCCAACCAGCCAGTTCCGTGTGCTGGAGAGAGAAAGAGAGAGCAAGGGAATGCAAGCAGGTGGACTTTGTCCTCGCTGAAGGCTCCGGGACAGCTCCTTGGACGAAGGTTTCAAGCCGAAGGAAGAGAGACCACCCTCGCTGCTTGCTCAGCCCTCCTCGAAGGGGCACAGGCAAGGGTTTGGTTCTGCAACAAGAGCTTTGGAAACTCCTTGGGGCCTTTTCCTTCAGCGTAGGGACTCTGAGCCAAAACCCCGGTGTGCCTTGAAGTTTGTGGCCTGGAAAAGAAGGTGCAGGCAACTCTGGCAGAGGCAGGTAGACTTTGTCCTTGCTGAAGGTGCAGGCAACTCCTCGAAGCAAGGTTTCAGTTCAGGGGAGGGCAGAACACCTTCTCTTCTTGTTCTTTGCCCAGCTCTCTGTGCCTTTGGTGGAAGGCTTTGAAAGCACAGGAGGCACGAAGACGGGGATCTTGCTCCATAACAACTGCAACAACACAGCTTCCTGGCACTTTGGAGGCTCCTTGGGGGCGTCGCTTCATCTCAAAGAGATTCCAAGACAACACTCTAAAGCGTGGAAATGAAGGTGCAGAGTGGAAAAGTCAGAGGCCCTGCTAGGATTTAGTTCCATCACAACTGCAAGAGTACAACTACCTGGCCTTTTGGACATTCTTTGGGGCCATTTGCTTCGAGACTCCAAGACAAACTCCAGAGCTCCTTTGAGACTGGAAAAGAAGGTGAAGAAGGACAGAGACAAGGATTTAGTTCCATAACAACTGCAAGAACACAACTACCTGGTGCTTTGGAAGTTCCTTGGGGCCATTTGCTTCATGTTGGAACTCTCAGCCAAAAGTCTGGAGCTCCTTTGAGAGTCTGTGACTTGGAAAGGAAGACACAGACCGCTTTGACAGAGGCTTGGAATGGCTCATCCGCCAGAGGAGACTTGCCCTCCTTGTCTGCTGTGTTCGGAGACCTCACCTCTGGAACTGAGGAGGTCACAGCCTGAGCGTTATCTAGGGAACGAGGTCTGTGTCTCAGCCTGAGCGGCAGTCATTCCAAGAGGTCACCTGGAGACCCGTCATCAGAGGCTGAGGATTAAAGCAGGGCCAAAGGACTTGGATTGAGACTTCCTTTCCATTCTTGGTTGGCAGTTGCCTGGCGGAGGTGGCACTCGGGTGTGTGGTCCTTAAACTGGCTGTATTTGCAAGAAAGGGGTCGGCAAAGCCCTCGGGTAAGTCTCAGGAGGCAACGGACACGCAGCACCCCTGAGGTACCCACTCCCAGGGGCACACACCTTGCAGGGAAGTTCCTGGATCTTGGCTCCTTTTCCCAGGTTGGGAACGGAGGAAAAGGCACCTGGCTCAGGTGGTGAAGGCCTTCAGGTGTTTAGGGTCCACTTAGGGATGGCTGCAACCTCGTCCAGCGGTTATGGCATTGCAGCAGGGCTTTGTGGCTCCCTCTCCCAACTCCAGAGGGGCTGGCGATGTGTGATGGGGGGCCAGGACCCTTGAAGTCCCCCGCTTCCCCCTCCGCTCCCACTCTCCCCCCGTCTCTCCTCAGCACTTCTGCCTGGTGCCCCGAACCCGTGTCCAGCCATGGCGGAGCACCTGGAGCTGTTGGCGGAGATGTCGGCGGTGGGCCGGATGGGCACCCAGGAGCGGCTGAAGCACGCCCAGAAGCGGCGCACCCAGCAGCTGAAGAAGTGGGCCCAGTTCGAGAAGGACATCCATAGCAAGAAGGCCAAGGGGGAGAAGAGGAAGAAGACCACCAGCAGCAGCAGCACTGGCAAGGCGAGGCGCGTAGTCTTCCCCGAAAACGTCCGGCTCCTGGAGGCCGCCTGCCGCAACGATGTGCACGAAGGTAGGAGCTGATGGATATGTGGGTTTGTGTGCATGTAGATGGGGTGACTCTTAATACAAGCTGCCTTGTGCCAGGCTTCCATGTCCTGGAGTCCAGGGATAGTCTTGGGCATCTCCACGTCACGCGGCAAATCTGCAGCCACTTTTCTGCCTCATGGCACCTCCGGCTACCTGTCAGAAATAGAGCCCTGAACACAAACAAAGAATTTGAAAGACCTCAAGGCTTTTAGGCTAATTTTGACACACACATTATATATGTATACCCAAAAACACATATATACACAAATATATATGTGTTTGGCCGGAGTGGTCCATGCCTTGGTCACCTCCAGGTTGGATTACTGCAATGTGGTCTACGTGGGGCTGCCCTTGAAGACGGCTCGGAAGCTCCAACTGGTCCAACGATCGGCAGCCAGGATGCTAACGGGGGCCCCTTACAGAGAGAGGTCAACCCTCCTGTTTAAGGGACTCAACTGGCTGCCGTTCATATTCCGAGCCCAATTCAAGGTGCAGGTGCTTACCTACAAAGCCCTGAACGGTTTGGGACCAGCCTACCTGCGTGATCGCATTTCCATCTACGAACCCACGCGGTCTCTTCGGTCATCTGGGGAGGCCCTGCTCGTGATCCCACCAGCGTCACAAGCGCGTCTGGTGGGGACACGGGGCAGGGCCTTCTCCATAGTGGCCCCCCAACTCTGGAACACCCTCCCCAAAGACCTTAGACAGGCCCCCTCATTGGCTATCTTCAGAAAGAACTTAAAAACCTGGCTTTTCTGATGCGCCTTCCCAGATTAGGAAATCTCCACTACCGAGCCCCATAAGCACTTTACCAGAACCAATGATTGCTGCACATTGCACATCATACTTGCCCTAGAAACCCTTTATACACCTCCTGTCACATCAGCACTTTTAATCCTTGTACCCACCTTTTGGCCCGGCCCAGTTTTACTGTGTTCTAATGTATTTTGCTTGTTGTTTATTTTTGTTTTAATTTGTTTTAATTGTTCGATTTGCTTGTTTATATTGTTATGTTGTATTGTTGCGGCCTCGGCCTGTTGTAAGCCGCATCGAATCCTCCGGGAGATGCTAGCGGGGTACAAATAAAGTTTAATAATAGTAATAATAATAATAATAATATTTATTTATTTACTGCATTTTTACTCCGCCTTGCTCATCTAAGGGGACTCAAGGCGGCTTACAGCTCTGGCACAAATTCAGTGCCGGTAAAAGCCAACAATCAACAGTAAAACGTAACCCACAGTTAAAAATACATAAGACAGTATACATATTAAGAACATATAAGGTGCATAGTTCCATGAATCTGAGAACCTTGCTCATAATCCTTAATTCAGACCATGTCGAAACTCATAGTAACTTATTCTTCGAATGCTCTTTAGCTTTTTTTCTGAAAGCCAGGAGGGATGGGGCCTGCCTGATGTTGCTGCAGTTATTTTTTATTATTATGTATTTATTTGCGGTATTTATACCACCCTTCTCAACCCCAAAGGGCGGTTCACAGTGTTCCACAGCTGAGGATCCACCACTGAGAAGGCCCTGTCTTTCATTCCCACCAATCGCACTTGCAAATAAGGTGGGACCGAGAGCAGGGCCTCTCCAGACGATCCGAAAGTTCTAGTAGGCTCATAAGAAGAGATAACGTTCAGACAGATAAGTTGGACCAGAACCGACCAGCACTTTAAATTGGGCTCGGTAGCATATTGGGTTGGCTAAAAATCATGAAGAGGTCTCACGAATTTAGCCCACCATATATATATATACACACACACACACACACACACACACACACACACATACACACACACGCACACACACACACACACACGTGTGTGTGTGTGTGGGTGTGTGTATATACAGGCACTCCCCATGTAATGAACAAAAAAGGGTCTGTAGGTTTGTTCTTAAGTTGAATTTGATTTTAAGTTGGTACAGGCACATTTTAAAGTGTAACCCCAGCCATATATATCTCTATCTCTATCTGTCTGTCTGTCTATCTACATCAGCGGTTCTCAACCTGGGGGTCGCGACCCCCAGGGGGTCGTTGGCCCATTTTCGAGGGGTCACGAAGTGTTCAAATTTGGGCATATTGAGTATTTGTGCCAAGTTGGGTCCAGATGTACAGTCGTTTGTGTTCAAAACGCTCTCCATATGTAGGTGAACTACATCTCCCGTAAATCATTATCAATTCCTCCCAGCCCCCTCCATATTTTCTGTTGGGCATTGGGGCTCTTTGTGCTACGTTTGTTCCAGGTCTATAATTTGTGGGGGTCTCAGTGGTCTGTGGAACTCAAGAGGTGAATTGGTTGAAGGTACTTCAAATCCCATCATCCATTGTCCATACTGTTTTGTGATCAGTCACTATGCTTTAACTATGTTCAATTTATAACAATGAAAATACATACTGCACATCGGATATTTCCATTATGCTTCATAAGAGTAGCAAAATTACCGTTATGAAGTAGCAATGAAAATATGGTTAAGGGTCACCACAACATGAGGAACTTCATTTAGGGGTCACGGCATTAGAAAGGCTGAGAACCACTGATCTACATACATACATACATATATACACATATATACATATACATATACATATATACACACATGAATTTGGCCCACCATATATATATATGTATTTATGTGGATGTGTGTATATATACAGGCACTCCCCAAGTAATGAACAAAATACTATCTGTAGGTTTGTTCTTAAGTTTAATTTGATTGTAAGGAGGAACAGGCACATTTTAATGTGTAGCTCCAGCCATCTGTATCTATATCTATATCTGTTTATCTATACATACACATACACATACATACATACACACACACACACGCAAACACACATACATATATAATTTGGATAGCATAAGGAAGGGTTCACACCCCTGTGGTGTTGGTTTTGCAGTCTGTGCCACTTTAGAAGATCTCACCTCGCATTCCCTGTGACAATTGGATTTTTGAAAAAATTGGCTTGTTGTGGAAGGAAGGATTGGTGAGAAAACTTCATTTCTTAACTAGGAGTTGTTTGTAAGCTGGATGTCTGTAACTCGGGGACTGCCTGTATATGTTTGTATGAGGCGGTGCAAGAGGGCTCTGCACCTTAACTGAAATGTGCATTTGCAACTTTTGAGATTCTCACACGGCACTGTTAAAAAGTTGGCATCCCACTTTAAACCCTATGGCTGCCTCCTGTGGAATCTTGTGATTTGTAGTTTAGGGGAGGGGTTTTTAAATTCTCCACCTGAGAGAGATCCCAGGCCTCCCTCAACTACAAGTCCCAGAATCCTCCAGGAGAGAGCCTTGAGATTGAAAGTGGGGTGCCAACTCTTTAGAGTATTTATTTATTTATCGTATCAGGAGCAACCAGACAGTTGTATTACATTTTTAACAAAACAGACAAACAAACAAACAAACAAAACACAAAGTTTGCAAGCTTGGTATTCTATTAAATGTCCTTTGACCAGTATCTGGCCCCTTGGAGTGCCTCTGGTGTTGCCGCAAGAAGGTTCTCCCTTGTGCATGTGGCAGGGCTCAGGGTGCATTGCAGCAAGTGGTCAGTGGTTTGCTCTTCTCCACACTCACATGTCAAAGATTCCACTTTGTAGCCCCATTTCTGAAGGTTGGCTCTGCATCTCGTGGTGCCAGAGCGCAGCCTGTTCAGCGCCTTCCAAGTCACCCAGTCTTCTGTGTGCCCCCAGGGGGAAGTCTCTCATCTGGTATCACCCACGGATTGAGGTTCTGGGTTTGAGCCTGCCACTTTTGGACTCTCGCTTGCTGGGGTGTTCCAGCGAGTGTCTCTGTAGACCTTAGAAAACTATTTCTTGATTTAAGTCGTTGACGTGCTGGCTGAGACCCAAACAGGGGATGAGCTGGAGATGTCTCTGCCTTGGTCCTTTCACTATTGGCTGCCACTTCCCGGCAGATGTCAGGTGGTGCAATACCAGCTAGACAGTGTAATTTCTCCAGTGGTGTAGGGCGCAGACACCCCATGATAATGCGGCATGTCTCATTAAGAGCTACATCCACTGTTTTAGCGTGGTGAGATGTGTTCCACACTGGGCATGCATACTCAGCAGCATACTCATACTCTTTAAGGTGTAATGGGATCATCTCTTTGGGGTTTCCGCAAGAGAGGATTCCACCTTTTGCAGGGCAGGCCAGACCAGAAGGCAGTCCATGGAAGCCACATGCTTTTGGCCAACCCCAACATTACAAAGGATTGTAGGGAGAAATCCTTCACAACATCTCAGTGCTGCCAGTTGGAAAAGACAATACTCTCATTATTTCCGTCCCAGTTTTTCAAACAGGCACCAAGTGGTTGGGAAAAGTGGATTAATGGCCTGAGCAGGCCTGCAGGCTTCTTCTGCTGTCCATCCTGGGCAGCCAAACCACTTGGTCAAGAGGGGACAGGGCCACTCAGGAAGGAAATGGCCTCATACCTAAGGGCTTAGAGAGCTCCGAACCTGGATATACCCTTAGTAAGAGGCAAGGATATGAATATTGGGGTATTGTGTGGTTTCCAGGCTGTCTGGCCATGTTTTAGCAGCATTTTCTCCTGGCCTTTTGCCTGCATTTATTTATTTATTTTATTTATTTACGACATTTGTTGACCGCCGTTCTCAGCCCTAGGGCGACTCACGGCGGTGTACAACATATAAAAACACAGTTTACAATAGAGCAATAGCACAACGAAATATCAACCTAACTATCAATAATACAACAATCATATAATTACACAAATCATCCGCGCCGTCTCATCATAGAATCATAAACCAATCTCGTAATCCATATTCCGTTCCAGTCGTCATTGCCAATTATTGTAGCACTTAGTTAAACGCCTTCTCAAATAACCAAGTCTTTAGGCTCCTGCGGAATGACATAAGGGAGGGCGCCTGTCTGATGTCTACAGGGAGAGTGTTCCACAGCCGGGGGGCCACCACCGAGAAGGCCCTATCTCTCGTCCCCGCCAGACGTGCCTGTGAG